CATATTTTATACATACATATATATGTATTTATATGCATACATGTAATAATCTTTCTTTTCTTTACACAGATTTCTCTAGACTGTATGTAAGCACAGACCACAGGCTAAATTCTTATTCTGTTACATTCAAGATGATGCATATCTATCATGAATTAACATCTTTCTCAAATTTGCCTTTGTAGGAAAACTAATCTTTCTTACTTATTCAAAACCAAAAACTCTATTACAGTGAAAGCTGTTAAAAATAAAATAGACTTTTTTTGTGCATGAAACTGAATTAGTCATGATTCAGTTATGGGTCATGTGGCTAGTTACTAATTAGTTATGATTTATGTGGCCAGATGATTAGTAATGGAAAATCCTTTGCTTGAATATACTGACCTAGGTCCAGATTCACAAATATCTGTCTAAAAATTCCTTATATTTGTATTATTCAGTTTAGCCATCAGTACCTGAGTAAATGTTGCTGCCACCTAGCTGGAGAACAGACACGGATATCACGGTTAGGCATGATGAAACTCCTAGTATTAATTAAAATGAATTGTGAATTATAATTATCAAGAACGTTATAGGAGGTGTGGTGAAAGTCTGAGTCCTGCAAATGACAATGAAACATTTTTCTGCTATAACAGACCACAGCAACCCTTAAACATGATTAGCTAGACTTAACAAACAAAAATCCTTCTACATTAAATGTTTCATATTGCACATTCTGCACATTAATATCTATATATGAACATATATAACTTTTCCTCTTTAACTTCTCAGCTCTCCCTTTTTAGTTGTCTGCTGCTACTGTTTGAAATATTTATGCTTGGACAATAAATTTGCTAAGCTATATTATTTCTTTCTGAATTCAGTCTGTTCCTTCCACCTGCTGCTGCTTGACTTTACTGTGGAAAGTAACAAGCAGTTCCTGCATCATGTTAAAGATAGACATTCGGACGGATAAGATAGGAACAACTGCTACTTAACCCTACTTTTTCCAGACAAGATGTGCCCAGTGCATAGGTACACAACCTGAGATCAGGTGATGACAAAATCCCTCAAGTCCCTCCAATGTAAATGGGTAAAACAGAAAACAGATCCCTCAAGATCTGCAAATTGTACCACATAACTGTCTATACCAGGTCCCACTGCAACAACAAAATTGTACAGACTGCTGTAGGTGCTCAGCAGCCCAGTTTCATACAGTATTAACTTTGCTTTTTACCATATTTGCAAGCTAGAGGCAACAAACCACAAACAGAAACGCGCTGCAGAACACGCGTAGTATTTGATTTACACTATTAGATACTTCATGGCCTCCTCAGGCCTACATGTTTCTAGTGTAGCTCTGTTATGCTTGTATAAATATATCTCTCCTGTCCTCTGGAAACCCAATCCATTTCAATCTGTAATTAAAACAGCTTCTTTTTAACATACAGTATGTGCTGATTTCACCTTAATTATATATTTCCAATTGCAAGAACTCAAACTGGGGGATACTGGGAAAGAATTTAACCAGCAGCCTATAAAGAATAGGGTTGAAGCTTGGTTTCCATTAATACCTCATTAGGCAGAGCCTGTCCTGCATGTAAAATGAGCTAATGATTTTTAAATGTAGTTGTCAACCTATAACTTAAAAATGTAGAAATTTATTTCTCTCTAGTACTGAACAAGCAATACTACACTTTTACTTCTACAAATCAACATGAAGCTATTGGACTACATTATTACTGCAAGCAAGATCTTCATTGGTCATCATCAAACACTGGCCTTTAATGCTATCATACCACTAATACCACAAGTAGTACTAATTGCTGTGCAAATTTTCTGATAGAAACAAGCTGACAGCTTGTGGAAAACACCTGGTTATAAATATAGTATAGCTTACTAAAAATGAAGTTAGACCCATAAAATGAATGTTAGGTAGTTACAGGATTAATTCTAATCCTATATATAATGGAATAGCAAAATTCTTATGTTTGAGTTTACTGTGAATAAAGACCATTCTCTACCCTACTAAAAAACACCACTACCTTTTGCATTAACTTGACAGGTTTTACAGTAGTGCAAGAATGCAGAACTTTAACTCCCACTGAAGCTGAGTAAATGGCCACAGAGTCAAGCAGGGGTTGCACAATATATCCTTTAATTGGCAAGGGGATTGTGGTATTCCTATCCATCAGGTGACCCCTCTGCACAAAGGTTAGGACATGATCTTGTTGCAGTGGCTTTGGAGATATGAATGTGCTGCAGGTGAAGCTTGGTTTGCTGTGAGAGCAAAAAGCTCTCATTCACTGTCATTCCACTACACTTTCACTGAGCATCATTTAAAAACAAAATTAAAAAATATTGAGAATTTATAAAAATCACAGTCCCTAATTCATGGAAGCATTGTCTTGGCTCTTTAAAGTAGCAAGATTTTAAAAGAGACCAGTTTTAAGTACTTCATCCATAACAGAAAAAAATATCATGTCCATAAACCTCATCATACTCATCATGGAAGCTTTTAATTTACCAGTTAGTACTAGCGTGTTTTGGCCTGAATCCCAATTAAACACCAGCATCCATGGTTGCAAAGGGAGGCAGTGAGCAGGCCTTCCCACTTTCACGGTTTTGGCTATTTGCGGTGGAATTTTTAACTAAATTTACAGCTATTCAACACTGAAAATTTACACATATGGGCTTCATTGTCTGTATCACACAACTCACAGTGAAGGCTGGAGCAGCTTTGTAAAGAGGGTGCATGACCACCTCTTCGTAACTGCCCCATGCCTAGCTGGTACCCACAGCAGCCTTTCTCTGGAGTAAATGCAATTAAGATGAGGGACCCTCCTGCTGTTCCTGTTTGATTAGTGAATACAGCAACAACATTCACTCATTGTTTTCATGCTTGGTCGCTACATTCTTTTGGATGGGAGGACTGCAATAGCTGTTCCCAGGGTGCAGGCAGGTATGCCATTTCTAACCTTTGGCTTGGGATATGTGGCCAGGCACTCCCTGGTTGCAACACAGCTTGTAAAACCAGTCACATTTCACAAGTGTGAAAAACACAACAGGGTATTGTACAAGTTAAAATATAAGATGGTGATGTGTGTTTTCATGCTAGAGAATTTACTTGGGACAGATCTGTCCATGTCACTGGATCTGAATGAACTGAGATCAGGCGGGCAAGGTTTGGCGTTCTGTGAGAAATGGATGTTTTTAAATCTCCTTTAAAATATCAGAGTTATGATGTGTTATGGTCAAATTACTGGCTCCCTGCTGAAAATGGAAGTAGTATGCAGTAGTATACACTGATTCCAATCATGGGAAAAACAATTATTTCTGTAAGTAAGCACAGAAGCAGTTAATAGTCTCAGCACCTTAATGGGGAGTTTGCCAAAACTGGCAGCTAAGCCAGAGTCCTGAACCAACATAACAGTAGGTCTATTTGTCTCATATACTGTGCTTTTCTCATCTCCCTTACCCCATCACAAGCAAACAAATATCAATAATAATGATGCCCTTAGCAAATACATCTAGGAAAAAATCAATGTGTACATGCACATTTTCAACAGCAAGAGATGTGACAGGATTATATAATCAGCATATGCCAGTCATTCCTACTGTACTCTGTAACCACAGGTTAAAAAAGAAGTGGTTTATATATTAAAGGGGTCATATAATTTATTTTATTGAGAGCAATCAATTGCTTACTTACAAGACAGCTTTCCATGACAAGCCTCTCTTTAAATCATGTTTCACTGCCCTATAAAAGCAAACCCCATCTCTTATAGCTTCCTAGCAAGGCATTCAGACCAATTATCCTATTCAGCTTCTCCTTTCTTTATAATTGGTAATTTAGCTTGCTATATAAAGCACAATTAAACCTTGTTTAGACTAAAGCTGTCTACATGTGGAGCTGGAGCTGATACTAATTCTTAAATCTTAGCCATTCTTAAAATAGGTATCCTAATGTACTTCCCACTGCTGCAGCTTAGTTATCACTTTCATAACCACAGAAATGTTCTTGAGTGAATTAGCATTTGTTCATTCCCAGCTATGTCAGCAAAAAGACATTTTCTTTTTATCTCTGTATAAGAGGTAATATCAAAATGTTACTGATTGGCCAATCATCAATTTACCTTGCACACTTACATTTTTTCACTTCTACTGCAATAATTGTCTGTCATATATTTCTAAGCACATAATCAACAAATGTATGTACAGAGAACTGAAATGTCATGGTTGTGAACACATGTTTTATATATATACAGGATTAAAATCAAGTCATTAGGAAGAGTTTACATCATATTCAATCTACCATGGAACAAGAAGATATTCTGAAGGGGCTAAGGAAAAATGCATCATGCACCCATTCTTACTTAATAATTTAAAACAAACAAACAAACAAAAGTTATAAGTACTCTACATATGTATGTCAGGCAAAATAATATTTTTTTTCTTTGAGTAGCTCAGTTAAACTGCAAGCAGACTTACATTGGCAGTTAGTCATTTTAATTATAGTGTGATGACACTTGCTAGTTCAGAAAATGAATCATATGGTTGCACAGGAATTCAGTCTTTTGCCTTAGCTATATTTGTAGATGGATAGAATTCTAAAAGTGAAACAGGCATTTAACTGTTTAAGGATTACTTGATGCAAAAGAGTATATTTATTCAACAATAATTTCAGATTATCTTCTCCATTTCTTTTCCCCTCATTAGAGACTAGACATGCTTCTTACAGCATAGAGGATAAAACAGACTGACAAGCAAATATACTGTCAGGTGGAAGAATATTTCAGTAACCTAAAATCATCACTGTGAGTGCCTTAAATCTCCCTGAATTCAGTTTTTCATCCAAAAAAAAAATGGATGCAGTTTAGGACAAGGAAACGATTCACAAGATTTCTGGACAAGAATATATTACTCTGCCAAAGACCATAATTTAACCCTTAGGTAGTACATTTACTGAAGCCAATGAACTTGTATTAGCATAAAGTCTTTAAAAACCTGACACACTGACCTACCTTTATGTGACAGACGTAACCTTGGCTGCCTTGTATCTGTTGCATGACATCCAGTCGGTAACTCTAGTAACCAGGCATATAGTACCAGGATTAAAAGGTCCTGGGCAGATGCCATTCTGCCCAAGATGAAATTCTTGCTCTCTTCACTTAACTGCTGATGTTTGTTTGCTGTTTTGATGAGTTTTTTAAGGCTCCAAGTTCCACTTCTACTTTCCCAGTGCAGTTAGATCTCTCTCTTTGGTCAGTTTGTGGGGTATCTCTACGGGAAATTCAGTGTTCATCAGAGAAGCACACAGTCTCAGCTAGCCATTTGTCAAGCTGTGCAAATGTCATGTAAAAATATTCCCTCCCTAGGACAATTGTTTACAAAGTGGGAGGACATTCCAAGGCGTCACTCTGCAGTGTTGTGTCTTGAGCTCTCTTTAGTAACTCTGCCAGTGGATTCGGGAAGAAGCTGTATTTTCAGTCCCTCCTGCAAGGCAATTCATTCAGAAAAGGAGGGAGGGAGAGTGGAAAAAAAAAAAAGAAAAGAAAAGAAGAAAGCACCCTCCTCCTTGGTGCTCTTCAAAACTCAGCCCCTTGCTCTGACTTGCCAAACAGCTAGTTTTAATTCACCTTTCACCTTTCTTAATTAAAAACAAGAAGTGCCATTCCCTCCTGGAGTTGCAGGATCCACCCAGCGGGGAAGCCAGGCTGTCAGGCTGCTGTATTTACTGAGAAAGTTCAGGAGGGTTGAGGCAGTGTACAGTACTAGCTGCTTCTAGGAAGCATTTTAATCCACGTGCCGTGCACTGATTCCTCAATTGCTTTGTGGTTTCACGTTGTAAAGCACTGGGAGAAAGGTCAGAATTCCTCCCGTCCCTCCCTTTTGAAAAGTCATTTCAGCGTTTGTTCCTAGCTCAGTTTTAGGGGAGGATCAACCCTAGAATTAACTATTTAAGTACATTATCTCTTAGAGTCACTAAACATCATGCTACTAAGTGGATCAGAGTAAAAGATTCCAGCTGTATATCCTTTCTTACTTTAAAGAAAAAGCTTCCGTTTTGATTTTTTTTCCCCAGTTGTTGTTTCACACAGTGGCTTCTCCCCATTACATTTCAAATGTCTAAGTATGGAACCTTAGGTCATCTATACATGTCAGTATATTTACTTTTCAGACTAGGTGCCTGTAGGATTGAGCGGAATTAAAACATATACATACACACATACATATAAAAAGAAGATAAAAACCTGAGCCAAGCACTGTGATAACATGATAAACAGCATCAGATTTACAAGTGTCAAACAGCTACCTTTTATATTACAACTAACAAATACCAGAAAACTTCACCTCTTTTTCATGTCATTTGTAACTTAAAAATATACCCATGGCAGGAACTAAATTTTTATGCATCAAGACTATAGATCTATGTCTGGGTTACATTAATTAAGGAATGAAGTTCTCTGTAATTAAGGTCTCAAGCATAGAATCACTTAGAATTTTGTGAGGTGCATTTTAGTCATTAACAATTGCACTTTTTCTAATGAGATGAAGCATTAAAGTCATCTTAAGTCTTTATACATCTCATTGTCTTATACAGAAATAGAATCTCAAAGAAAGGAAAATTCAAACTAATATATGCATTTGACAATAATGCACTCAAACAAATTTGGTAGCCAACAAAAGATAATGATATCTGGAGAAAAAGATCTTAAAAGAAATTTCTGTATGCCAGCAAACTGAAAAGAATGCAGTACGATAATATAACAAAATGCTAATAATTGTAATAGCAGGATACATAGATGGGAGAAGACAGATCTGTTCAAGGAGAATAAAACATATGAACTACTAGGTCCAAACTAAAAAAACCCACCAACTTTGTTGAAAAGACAGAAGTAAATCATGGGAGTTTTATGTCCTCATGTCTACCTGCTAGTTCTCCAACAGCAGGTCACGTACACATACCTGGGCTTGTTTTAAATCAGCTGGAAACTGTGCCAACAGCAGTTAAACCACAGGAGCAAGAGCTAAATCACACAGCTATTTGTTCCATTTCTTGCACACCACTGCAGGTTGCACTGAATTTTATGCTGATGTGCCAGCTGTCTGGCAGTAGCTCAGCATGTGTACTTGAGACATTGTCAGTGGAGAAGGTAATGTAGGCTCTGCCTCCAAGCACTGACCTCAGCATGAGCAAGTTTATCATCTACCCAATGGGATTATTATTATTGGCACCTTTCCATAGTACTGAGGCATACAAATGTTCTGCGTTTGACCATTAAAATCTGCTGTAAAGGAGCATGATCTAGTGCCTGCTGAGGTTAGTGAAGACTGAAGATTTTCCTTTGCCTTTGGATGTAATTCTGTGAGTTCTTATTGAAATATTTGCATTTTTCTTAAAAAATATTTAATCAATTATTAGAATTCTCACAGACTCGGTCTGACAAGTTTGAACATTTCTGATTCTGAAATAGTCCAAATGGAATTTTTTTTGAAGGATCCTCATATGGGAAACTCAACACTCGTTCAAATTTAACATATGTATTCTCAAAAAGAACACAAAATCCAAACGTGAGCTCACAGTATGAAAACTGAAAGCATATTCAGTGAATAAAGCAAGCATTAGTGTAAACCCCAAAATCTGGCCTCTGTGTAGAACGCCTCTCCAAGCTGTAGTAGGGTGTTTTTTATTGATTTTCCCTGGCTGCAGCTAAGATAGTGGATGATCAACAGACTGAATTCAGGTATCCTGAAGTGGTGGAGAGGAAGGGAAAAACAAGTTGCTGCAAATGTGCCTTATTTTATATTTAGATAAGACATAGGGTACAACAGGTCTATTCAGACAAGGCATACATACAAATAAGGCAATTTCCCACCAACCTGAGTTTACATGCTCTCACATGCATCTCTAACTCCACACATCCTCAGCCATTACACATCTCCTTGGCTTCCTCAAGCGCAACGTGACCTAGGGCTGGAGCTCCAGTAGAGTCAGAAATACCCAAAAAGCTGATTTTCATATTTGTGCCTGAGGACAATGCATTCTTTTCTGAAATCTGATTCTCAATCAGGGTGGGCCATGCTGGTGCCTCAGGCTACTTCCCTTGCCTGCTGAGGGAAGGGCCATGGAACAAAGGCACAGAAGCAGAAGCCGGAGCTGCTGCTTGATGTTAAGGCTTTGACTGTCAGCAAAAGGTGCCAACACAGGGAAACTGGGAATGGCTGCTGAGAATGGGGAAATATGTCTGCACTAGAATGAGACCTAACAGTGTAGAAAAGAAAAATTAATGTATCAGTATATGCAGGAGACTGATAATATTCCTGATAATCTTCTCATGGGATAAATCGTCACTTTATTGTTCTCAAGTTGCTGTATACAATTTCAAGTCAAGAGAAACATGTGGCCTCAGGTAAAGCAGTCAAGCTCTTTGCCTCAGCACCTTTTCAATTAAATAGCTATGCAGTCTTGCCTTGAAGGGTGTTTTGAGAAACTTCTTCCTAAAGGATTTTAAACAGTAGGTAGAAGGGTGGTAACACAGATGTTCAAACATTAGGATTCAGTCAGATAAGTAGGATTCAGATTAGGATTCAGATGAGTACAAACACAGATGTCCCATGGCTATGGAGCCTGCATGTAATACAGTGACGGGTCCCTGAAGAGTAAACAAGATGGGTCTACTGCTTATTTTCTGTTAATAAGGCAAATACGACAGATCTCTGTCAAACCTAAGTGTGCTTCACTAGGGAAATCTCCAGTTAAGTAAATGGTGACATTTAAGTGAAAAATTGTGCCTGGAAATCTCTAAGTAAAGAGTATTTTATATTTCAAATGCAAACCCTGGATTTGATTGCAGGGGTGGAATCGCTATAATCACACATGTCCTAAAAAGGAAGATGACAGGTTTTCATAACAGAAAGGAAAAAAAAAATAAGGTTGTTGTGTACATCTGTATTGTTTAAGTACAGTAAAGCCCATTAAAGGAACTACAAATTGATTGCCAAATCCTATGTAAAGTCCGTGGACCATAGTTTGAATTGCTACAGCCACTGCAGGTCCAGAGTAATTCTAATTAAGTGATTGAGCCTGTAAATCTAAACCAAACCAACACAAAATGCTTCTGACATATTGTGTGAAGTGATTTAGTTCAACTGATAGAGTGAAACGTCAAGTCAGGAGCACAGTAGATCTGCAGTTACTAGCACCAGTAACAAATTCTAAACATTCTAACTGTAAAGCAAAATGAAGTGTTTAGAAAATATAAAGCTGGGGTGGTTCAAGAATTGCTATAATCATAACTTAAAACCAGGTTTAAAAGTTCCAGAAATGCCTCCTTCTTCTGATGACAATACACTGAACCACGTAGGAGTTCTCTCTTTTTTTACTGGACAATGTTGCCAGGTCAAAAGAAGGTGTTCAATCCCAAAAGGAGCTATTTGGCCTTCACTAGAGTTAATGATGCCTGCATTTTCATTAGTTTTGTAATCTGTGGTAGCTGTACTGCACAGGTAATCATATCTTCACTTATTTGATAGACAAACTTTAAAGGGCATTTAAAGAACTTACTACTGGGCATTTAATTTCTTTTTGACACAGCTTTCAAATTCTATCATCCTTAAAACACATGCAGGAGATGAAGGAATGATCTATATAATCATGTAACTGTTATCTCTGCCTTTGAGGTAGGAATTCATGTCTTCTCCTGTCTCCTTTGCAAACTGGTAACTGGCTCTCCTGCATCAGCAGTGGTGGAAGAAACGGTATCACAAAACTGCTTGTCATGGCACAGTGCAGGTACTGCAGCCTCATAACTCCCAATCAACTCATAAAAAATTTTGTGGACACATTAAGAGCACTGACAAGACACAACAAGAACATGAGAAAGCTGATCCAACAGGTGAGTAATGACTCAATAATATCTTCTGGGACCTCTCTCAATGAAAGGAGCAGAACTGTGGCTGGCTAATCCCACTGACCCTTGGGAGGATATGCTGATAGCAAAAGAATGTTGTCAGATCCTGTTTGATACAAGGAAATAGCAGGCAATAATAATAAAAGTTGGTCCTCTATGGAATTTTCAGATTAGAAATGTTTTAGGTCTTTGCTTTGTCTGCAAGTGTTGGATCCTAACCCTGTATGAAAGTAGATGTGTTTATACGTAATGTCTCCAGGACAGGGAAGTGTAATTTCTCTTGTTTTATACACAGTACATTCTCCTTTTGATCCAAGATCAAATTTAGACAATATTCATTAAGCAAAAGTGTTTGACTGAACATGAACCTGTACTTCAAACTCACCACAAAAATTACGTGTTAAATTAATTCTCTGGAGAAAGGAAAAGTATTCTTAATTAAATTACATTCCCTTAATTCCAGAAAGACTAGGTTTTCATGGGTAAATATGGAAACATACTGTCCTTGGAATACTGCTACTTGCAGTAATGTAATTTCTATGACTAATTAAAGGTGAATGTCAGTACTACCTGAGATACAGATTACATACTTTGGTTAACCTATAAAAACCAGGTGGGACACTTCTTTCTTCAAATACTGACCTCTTAAGGGATTTCTTTATTGGTTGCACTAAAAGACATATCAGTATATCACTGGGTCTCATTCCTGAAATCAACTCCATGTGCCTGACTTGAGATTAGTACATGGGTCACAGCAGTCTGTACGGTTAGTTATGGATGAAAATCAAATTACTGATTTCTCTAGGGGAATGTATTTTTGATGATATTTTTGCTACTAAATAATTACTGAAGTCTCTCAAAAGAAAAAGGAAAAAAAACCCCAGTCAGTTGTTTTTTGGAGATCAAGATTAAATATGGTATGTCATATCTTCCACAAATCACTGAGCAGGAAATAAAAATATAATGCTCAAAAGTCTAATATTAAGCAATTATGGCTATCAGATATTTCTTATTAACTCAGA